GATTATATGTATTTTATCTGCTCCACAAACAATTCTAGATAACTTATCTGAATTGTTTAAATGTGTAGAATCCACATAAGCTTGTTTTTCATCAACCGGTCAAAATTTACAGCAGGGCAAGCAAATTCGGTCCGTTTTTGGCCAGACAGAAACCGCACACAGGCTGAATGTAAATATAAGTCTCTGTAAATCCACTCGCTGACAGCAGGTGGCGCTGATGAAAAAAGCTGAATTAGAGCTGTTTCCCGTAACCTCCGTGGACAAAGCAGTATTGCGATTTAAGAACACTTCCTTTAGGGATTACATGGAGCGAAGATGAAAACAAAGACATTCACAAACTTCAGAGGTACATTCATATAATTAATTCATTCATATATTCATTTGTATAATTCCCTTAGCACTCTATTAAAACCTCCCAGCTTTTTTCACGCAAAATGAAACTACTCTGCGTGCTGTGCGCACGTGAGACTGTTACTTAAAACTGTGCGTTATGCTGGATAGTTTTTATTTGTCGGGAGTTGTTCAAATCGTGGTAATCTAATATGGTCGTCAAACCGGTAATCGTTGCATCCCTAACTCCTTGTGTTCCGTCTAGCTGTTTTTGAGTATGTGAATGTGTCTAATCTGTGTATGATGGACCTGACCCTAACCAGTACAGTAAACAAAGGTTTGCTAGTCAGCTAGTAATTTTGTGCGTGTCCTGAAGCGATATACAGTACACTTCCTGCAGTGACAGTGAGAGGGTGAAGTGTTGCACTCGGGAGTATAGCAGTGATAATTATGATTCACATATTTACTGAAACACTGCAGCTTGATGAAGTAGCTGCGGAATTTGGGATTGGTGCAGTTCTGCAAGGGAGTCAAGTTCCAAGGTCAAGGTATTTCCAGATGGGAATGAGATTTTGCAAAATCAAGTTCCAGTCTGAGGTTAAAGATAATGAGGTGGGGACATCGGTCCGATATCAAACAGAGGTGTGTCTCTCTCTCTCTCTCTCTCTCTCTCATTCATTGATTAGTGGAAAAATCAGCTTGTGTTTGTAAAGTTAGTTCTGTTATGTTATTCTGTAAGTGTTTGTACTAGAGCCCGACCGATATATCATTTAGCCGATATTATCGGTCGATATGAGCCTGTCGCCAATATATCGGTATCTGCGAATATGCCGCCGATATTAATTTTTTTTTTTTACAGAACATATAACGCAGATTAAATGCTTCTGAATGGTGTAATTACTTAGTTTGTCTAAGCGCACTCCATTGTTTGCTACTGGACCCAGGTCAATGTAGTGTAGAGATGCGCGGATGAGCTCAAACTTCACCCGAGTCCGCAGCTTCAAATTATCTGCCCGCCACCCACCCGCACTTATATTTGATCGTCACATTACAATGATTCTAATTCTTTGTTTTGCATGATGATATGATGAATGGATGGTTCATTTTAACAGCAGATTCAATGACGTTAGAGACTAGAGCTGATCTGCGCTTCACGGCACGCGTCTGCGGCGCATTAAAGCCTGTGTTACGGCCACCGGAGCTGATCGCGGCCACTCAATGCTGGTGTTTACCGGCTGCACCGCGGCCCAGAACTCATGCTTATCACATCGGTCACATCACATCGGTCACATCACATCGGTCACATCACAACGCGCGGCGTGGCGCGACAAAATACAATAGAATTCTATTGTATTTTGTCATGCCGCTCGCGTCCGGTGTAGAATAGAACACATTATGTTGTCTACACTGGATTTAGTAAACTGATGCCTCGTTCTATTTATGACGTGCTGACATAAGTTCAAATGATTTTCAATGGTCGCTTTGATGCGTTCTGTTGCAGCACAGACACGGTGTCAGCATAGTTTGTCAGTACAGTCAGTAACGTAGCAGATTGAAAAGTTAGTATCTTTCTGCAGTCCAATAGACGGCAGTGCAGTGGTGGCTTAAATCTGTTGAATGGTGATTTAATGCTACGTTGTTACCTACTTGGAGAGACTCAATGCTAAGTAAATAAACCTCAATGCTATGGCTGGGTATCGATTCAGATGTCCCGATTCGATTTGATTCTCGATTTTTTTTTAATTTTTATTACATTCAGTGAATATAGTTTTAATACAAATGCTATTGATATTTCTACAAAATTTACAGTAAACATCAGTTTACAAATAGTGAATTAATAAAAAGAAATTAAGAACCACATGCCTGTATTTTTTTTTTTTTTGTATAGGGTCCTTTTTAAACAATAGTAGGGCCCTATAAAATGTTCTTAATTTTTCTGGTAATCAGATGAAGGCATAAAACATTAAATTGAATTTATAATGAAAATTAAACCCTTTTATTTTTTTGGCAAACAAAGTGCTGCACAACAGAGGTTTACTGTTAAAATTAAAAATAAAACAGATGTGATTATTCCTTTAAAAAATAAAGATTTATTAATATTTATTAGCAGTAGTAGCATTGAGTCTTCAGACTGCAAAATAGTAATATATTCTGACAGTTTAACGTTAAACTAAACTTTTATTTTGACGGGTTGCCGTGAAGAACTTGCAGCTGCTGTGTATGTGATATGACGGTAGTTTTCTCAGATCAAACCGTAAAATGCTTATGAAGTGACTCTCAGAGCAGCTGGAGATGACCTTCGTGTTCATATCATCATATAGTGAGACGGCAGAAGCTGAAAACAAGGGTAAATAAGGGGGACATCTAGTGGAGAAGATTAATGATAAGATTCACGTTAATCCGATCTTGTTTTAAATGTGCTGAATTAAATCCTGAAAAAGATCGATTCGCGGCTTTTGAGAAGCGATATTGAATCGATGTCATTTAAAAAAATGATTAATCGAAAACGATTTTTTTTGCCCAGCCCTAATCAATGCCCTCGTCTTTTACTCTCACAATGAGCTTATCATATTAGTTTGCTATCCAGTTGAATCTACTCGTGTTGCTAAGCACTGAGGTGCTCGTCGATCCTTTCTTCTTTACATACTTTGATGATTTTTCCAGTGTTTAAGAACAAACAAATGATATACTGATAATGAATTTAAATGATGAAAATAAGTAATCTTTCGTCCCCTTTGTCTGGTTGCATTGTCTCGTAACACGGACAATGACTTGTAAATGTGTTTATGTATATATATTCTGTTTATGTAGGCTATATACTGTATTCTATATACAGTACCAGTCAAAAGTTTGGACACACGAATGGGAAGTGTGTGCAAACTTTTGACTATACTGTACTATAATATAGCCTACACATAAAGAATATCGGCCGATATATCGGTATCTGTCTTTTTTACGCCCAATATTGGTATTGGCATCGGCCCCCAAAAAACCCATATCGGTCGAGCTCTTTTTGTGCTTGCTATTACTAGATATAGAGAGAATTTGCATTTTCAGTTAGCCCTGTGGTTTTTTTTTATTATTTATTTATTTTTTTTTAACGCGTTGGTCTGAACAGAACAGGACTGAATGCACGATCACATCCAAGTTTAGCCCCATGCTGGGGTCACACTAGTCTTTGAGCATGAAACATTTTTACGGAAACATAAAAATATTCTACTCCGCTTTACTGCATCACTGCTGACCTGCAGATTTATGTCTGGTTTTATAGACGAGGCTTAAGCCTAGTCCCAGACTAAAATACATGTTTTAGCTAGGGCTGGACGATATGGCCTAAATTTATATCACGATATATTTATTAATTTCGGTCGATACGATATAATTCCGATATCGATATGAACACTTATTTAAAAAAAGCCTCGTAAAAACTGCCAAGAACGCCCACAACAGATGTCTGTGCATACAAACTTATGAAAAATTAATTTGACAAGTCTTGACACCTCATATAAAACCATATAATACTTTGGGGAGAAAAAAAAACGGCACAAATAAATGAATGTTCACCTTTTATTTGTATTTAGCATTCATACAAACAAGAAATGTGAAATCACTGTCAAATAAACATCTCAGACTCACCTAATTAATATTAATATCTTTAACTTCAAACTATAAGCTAACATACACTACCAGTCAAAAGTTTTTGAACAGTAAGATTTTT